TGCACCCGGCCCCAGGCCCTTCCTGCCTTCTCCCTCCTCCATGGCCGGGGACTTCAAGGGCTGGAATGTGGTCCCACCCATCAGTGGCCAGCTCACTCGCTGGCACTCGGGGGACATGCCTTAGACCCTGTGTCCCCCTGAGCCTCCTCGGATCCTCAGCCTGGTCCCACCTTGCCCTGCCTGTCCACGTCCCCTTGTCCCCTCACCGTCTCCTTCACTTCAAAGGCACCTGGAACTTCTGTTTGCCTCCACTTAGGTAGCTGGCTTCGATGGTCCTGTCCTCAAACTGAGACGTGGCAAGTTAGGAGGGAGGGAGTTTGAGGACCGTCCCCCACACCAGCCCGGGCTCCCCTCAGGGCACCTGACAAACTTGGGCAGCGGCAAGGTGTTTGTTTAGAGCCCCTTCTTGGCCACCAGACCCCGACTGGTGATGGTGACTCCCTCCGCATTCTGCAGGGGCAAGGGGTGGGGCTGGTCACTGTCCCATGGGAGAGCCCTGGTGGTTTGTGCCCCAGGGCCTTTGCACACAAGAGGACCCCAGTGTCTGAGATCCACCCCCTCCGGTCCACCTTGATGCCTGGTGTGAAGGTTCTTGTTCACAGGATCCATCATAGCAAACACTCGGTACTGAACTAGGAGGGGGCAGGAGGATTCTAAGTGTTAGATAGAGGACAGGAGAGAGAGGCTTGCTGCAGGATTGTCCTTGGACTGTGGATCGAGATGAGGCCTTGGGGGGTGGAGGAGATTTTATGGATGGGAACACAGCAGACACTGAGGGACTTTGGGGCTAGGAGTTAGCACCTGCCCCAGGCCACGTGCCCAGGGGCCTACCCATTTGCTCAGGGGTGTAGACAGGCTTGTCTGTCTGGATGAAGATGGAGCCGGCATGCAGAGCCACCAACACCATCTTCTCCATGAACGAGGGGTCTGAGGTGGCTGCCCAGTTTGCCCGGATGACGACATATTGCTGTCCCAGTTTGGGGGGGTATACCAGTCTCTCAGGAATCTGGAGAGAGATGCTCACATTCCTCTGGTTCTTCTGAGGGCAAAACTTTGGGCCCAATCTTGGGTGAGGCAATTGAGTGGGAGCCCTGTTGCTCTTTTGGGAAAGGTCACCAAGCATAGCTGTGCAGGTTGCCCACTGCACAAGGGCACCCAGTCAAGACAGGAATGAAATCCAGTCCACATTCCCAAACTGCCAGCAGAGGGGGCCGTTTAAGACTTCTACGGAAGTACCAGATGGGCATAGGGGTCCTTCCTGGAGCTCAGGCTTAGGGGAGCCTACATTTCTGAATGCACAGGGTATGAAAGAATCAGTAAGTCTACCCAAACCCTGCCATGGCTCGTCAGTGTCCCTGTGGGCCGTCCCCCGGAGGTCTGCTTCTCTCTACCCATACTGCCGACCCAGAGCTCCTTTGGGCCACCCAAACTGGCTGTCACCCACCGTCACAGGAGTCTGGACCATGAAGCCATTTGCCGCCGTGACAGAATGAGCTGCCTCGTGGCCACCAACATGTGCCTCAAGGGGAAGTCCCACACGGTGACGTTCACTTCCAGGGACCTCTTGAGGGGCTCCGAGGAGGCCGAGTGGGCCTGGACGTGGGTGTCCTCAGGGGTCCCCACCCGTAGCACACGGGGCGTCACAAGGATGTACCTGCCAGGTGACAAACACAGGGTCTCGGAGGGACCGAGGCAGACAGGATCACAGGCAGGGGTGGTAGCACTGACATCAAGCGTGCAGGAGGCCATGTGGGTCCCCTGAGTTCCTGGACTCGCGTGGCTCGGTGTGGGTGGGGGGCTCGCGGTGGGGATCAGGAGGAAGCCCAGGGACCAGGGCTCAGCCGTGGCGGGCCAGAGGGTGTGGGGGACCGCGGGCTGCAGAGGTGTGTCCTCTGGTCTGCCTCGGCCCTGCTCTGTTGGCCTTGGCCTGTTTGGGCCGAGTTAATATCTAAACGGGTTTGGAGGAGGGGGTTCCCCGGGGTGGGGCTGCTCCTCACCTCTCGGCCAGGCCTCCAGGTCAGGCCAGGGACAATTCTCCTGAGACTGTCCCAGCTCCTGCCTTGGGGTCCGAGTGGCAGGAGGCTGCTGCTGCCATGAGCCGCGGGCCTCATCCTGGGGGCCTCCCCTCCCCCAGCAAGAAGTCACGCAGACCCCCCCACCCCACCCCACACTGAACTCAGGGCCTGGCTGGGAGCTCCTCCCTCCCCTGGGCCCGGATGACTTCTGTGCTTGTGCAATGGGTGACCGTCTCTGGGACAGCTGGTCAAATAGGGGCAGAGCAGCCATTTCCCTCCCATTTCGCAGCCCCAGGCATGAGCACAGCAGATGGCATTTTGCCGTCTGGCCCAGCACCCACCACCGTGGAGCCTTCCGAGAAATCCATGGATCAAAATCCGCTTGCGGGGGCTTCAAGTCTCTCTGCACCCAGAACGCACGGCAGGGTCCCTGCCCCTGCGCCGGGCACATGGTGACCATTGTCCATTGTTCCTAAGTCACGCCAGTCTCCTTTTCCAGAAAGCAAATTATACATAATCAAACCAGGGAAGAAAACACATCATGCTTGAAGCATTCCTGGAAGAAGGCTTTCTCTGTCCCCAAATAATTCTTGCTGACAGTTCTAATGAGCCTGTTCAAGGACTCTGCCCTGTCTGCCCGTGTCAGCCTGTTAGAGACAGGCAGGGCTGCAGACAGTCCGGTCCGATCTGACTCTGCCAACTCCCAGAGTCCTGCCTGTGGAGGGTCTCCCGTTCCCCCGAACAATGATAATGTGCACTTATCCAACAACATTCATTAAACATTTACGAGCTGGTCCTACTTAGCATGCAGGGTGCACAACTGCCATGCGACAGAAAGTCCTGCCCGCGCACAGCGGACCCTGACTGCGAGCCCACCAAAGACCCAGGGTGGATTTGCTCCTTCAACCTTGTAGCTTTCCATGAATCATTAGATAGAGGACAGGAGAGAGAGAGGCTTGCACCCACTTTCCTGTCTTTGTTAGAGGGCTGGAAACCCAGTGTGTGAGAAGCCAGGAGGGCAGGTAAAATGTCGCCTTTGACTCCTCGCAGCACCTTCTGTGAGCAGGCGCTGCTCTGTGCACAGGGGCGTCTCGCAGCCACGCCCGTGGGAACCAGCACCCACCCACTGGACAGAGGAGAACCCGGCTCAAGAGGTGAGTGACTAGCCCCGTGTCAGACAGGGGGGAGCAGCAAGCAAAGACTCCCCAGTGCCACAAAGAAAGAAAGAAAGAACAGGAACGAATTAAGACCTGGCGGAGGGGACAGTTCACTCACATTGAAGGCTCTAGGTTGCTGCTGTCCACTTGCAGTGCCGGGCTCTCAGGGAACCTTCACCAGCTCTGGTCAGCTCTCCCCCGCCTGGGGGTAGGCTCCCTGGGCATCTTTGTCCTTTATCAGCTGCACCCCTTATTGGAGGGGCCAGGACAGGGGATGACCCAAAGGTCAGGGTGCCAGGGACTAGCACCTGCCACTTTCATCTCCAGTTTGGGCTCCCGGTACCAAAGTCTCTGTGGCTTGGAGGCTTGGTTAGGAGCAGCGTCCCTCCCCTCCCATTCTGGACAGGTAGGAAGCACCTGAGCCTCTCTGCGCATGCTCAGACCTGGCTCCGCTGAGGTTTTGCTTTGACTCTGGGCCGGCCAGGAAGGGAGGTCCTGGTGAGCACAGGAGAGGAGGGGGACACGTCGAAAACAGAGAGGTTGAGCGTCTTCTCCGGGTCATACAGCGAGTGTAGCGATGGAGCTGAGCTCCTGAGCCCGGCTTGGGCGGGAGTTCCAGGGGGGTCCGGAGAGTGGCTGAGGATTGCACCCAGGTTGGTCCCTTCAGGTGCGCGTCCAGTTGGCTTCTCGCACTTGGCCACGAGAGGGCGCTAGCGAGCGTCCGCCGGCCCCGGGCTGCGCGCGGCCCCTCCCGCAGGAATGCGGGCGGCGAGGGAGGGGCGGGCGCGGGGCCGAGCAGCTGCGCCGGAGTCGCCCGCCCGCCCCTCCCTGGGGCGCGGGCGGGGAGCGGCCGTGCAGGGCTGTGTCCTCGCAGGAGGCTTTCCCCCCGCAGGGCTGAGAGCCCAGGGCTTCCCAGGAAAGGCTGGGTGGACCCGGGGCCCCCAGAGCGCGGTGCAGCCCGGGCGGGTGCTTATTAATCACCGACTGTGTCCCGCACTCACCGAGACCACGCAGACGGGGGACCGAGCTCGCGGGGTGCTGGGCCTTGTCCAGGTGGCCAGGTCAGGGCTCCCCGGCGCCCAGGGCCCTCCCCGAGGTGCCCCGTGGGTCACGCCCTGCCCCAGCCCGGGCTCCCTGGCCATGCCTTGGGCTCCCTGGGCTTCTGGGCGCCCCGTTTGTCCCCCCCCAAATTTCAGAATCTGGCCTACTTCCTGGTCCCCAGGGACATCTCTTGCCTCTCCTCCCGGTCCCCAGAGGTCTCTGCTGGCGGTGAGAATTTTCCAGAGAAGCCTTTTTCTAAGGGGGGGGGTAATTCAGCAGCCACGTTGGGGGCTGAGCCTGGGGTTGGAGCTCCTGCGGGGGAGAGCTGGCCGTCCCTGACTAACAAGGCCCGGGCTCTGCCGGCCCCGCTGGCCTCAGACCCCAGGGAAGTGGCAGGTATTTCGGTTGAGACCGGAGAGGCTCCGTAGCTACGTGGGGAGGCTGAGGCAGGAGGACCACTTGAACCCAGAAGTTTGGGGCCAAGCCTCGGCAACATAGAGAGACCGAACAAACAAAATAAAATCAACAACAACAACAACAAGGAAGAAAGCCAGTTAAGATTAATCAGTTGTGTGCTGGCGCGGTGGTGCCCCCCTGTGATCCCAGCAGCTGGGGAGGCTGAATCAGGAGGATCCCGAGTTCAAAGCCAGTCTCAGGAAAAGAGAGGCTCTAAGCAACTCAGTGAGACCCTGTCGCTAAATAAAATATAAAATAGGGCAGGGGATATGGCTCAGAGGTTGAGTGCCCCCAAGTTCAATCCCTGGTATCAAAAAAAAAAAAAAAAAGGAAGAAAAAAGAAAAAAAAGATGAATCAGGTGAAGGGTGAGGGGAGGGAAAGAGGAAAATGGAATGTGGTTCTGTCTCAGAGGGAGGGGTCAGTCTGTGGAAAGACCTGGAAGTAAGCACTGAGCACTGAGCCACATCCCCAGCCCCTTTTATTTTTTATTTAGAGACAGAGTCTCTCCAAGTCGTTTAGGACCTTGCTAAGTTCTGAGGCCAGCTTTGAACTGGAGATCCTCCTGCCTTGGACTCCTGAGGTACTGGGATTGCGTTTGCCGAGGAACCTGGTGGAATTTTAGTCTCTGTTTGGCACATTAATTGAAGCACTCACTCATTGATCAGACATCTGTTGTGAGCCTGCCCTGTGCCACTTCCTGCATTAGGTGTTGGTCCTGTGGCTGTGGGCAAGTAGATCACAATCCCCTCCCGTGGAGCTGACATTCTAGTGGGTGGAGATAAGAACCATCTAACTATAGTCTATGTGGGATGATGGGAAACAGAGCAGCTTAAAGAGATAGACTGACAGGGTGCTTTCTTGTGTGACCAGGGAGGGCCTCTCTGAGGAGGTGGCTTTTGAGCATTTGAAGGAGGAGAAGAAAGGAGCCATGTGGAGAAAGGGAACAGCAAGTGCAAAGGACCTGCGGTTGGAGTGTGCGCGGGCTGTTTAAGAAACAGCAAGCTTAGCAGAGCTGCTGGAGGGACTGGGAGGAGGAAATAATCTGAGGCAAATGTTCCCTGATCAGATCACGTATTTGTGGATTTTAATCTAAGTAAGACAAGAAGCCCCTGGAAAATTTTGAAAAGAGGATTGGTATTATATTTTTATTTTGACAGAATTAGTCTGGAATATTTCCTTTCTTAGTATGACTTGAAATCCAAAAAGAAAAAAAAAGATGAATTATTGCAAAAAAATAATAATAAAGCCAATTCACAGAAAAGCTAAAAGAAAGAAAGAAAACTGGAAAAAGTTTTGAGCTTTATATCACAGACTTCCTAATATCCTCTCTATATAAAGAGTTTCTAAAAATTAACAATAAAAGTACCAAAAATCCAATTAAAGACAAATTTGGCAAAGATGTGAGCAGAATGTCTGCAACAAATGAAACACAGAAGTTTCTCCAACATATGAAAAGACAGTCAGCCCTACTCATAACAGGAGAAGTGCCCATCAAGACCACACTGACACGCCAAGTTTTACGCAGTAGATTTGTGTAAGTTCCGAAGACTGGTGACAGGCTGTAGGAGAGCAAGCAAGCTTACACATGGACTTGGCCTTCCAGGGTGGAGGTGAGTCACTAATGTTCATAACAATCATGAATGCATAGAGTCTTTGGCCAAGTAATCCCATGACGGAAAACATGTGTGAAATGAGGGATGTACATGAAGTTCTTCATCAGCCATTTGTAAAACAGGAAGCAAAAAACTCCAAAAGCCAAAAATCAAAAAGAAAAAAAAAAAAAAACATGGAGAGAGCCCAAAGGTACACCAGTCGTGAACCAGTTGCATAAATTACTTTTTATCTCCTCCATGGAAATATGTTGCAGATTGACAAAAGATTGAGGATGCCTTTTGGGGCTGGTATAGAAAGCCCTCCTGGGTACATTATTCATGAGGAGGACTAAAGTTCAGAATCATGGGTATCATATGCTGCTGTTAGTGAAAGTTTTTTTAAAAAAGCATATACTATTCTTTTTTCATTAAAATATTCTGTGACTATTTTTTCAATTTTATTCAGAAACAGGTTCTTGCTGAGTTGCTTAGAGTCTCACTAAATTGCTGAGGCTGGCTTTGAACTCTTGATCCTCCTGTCTCAGCCTCCTGAGCCCCTGGGATTACAGGTGTGCACCACCGCGCCTGGCTAAATGATATTTTTTATGTGCTAAGGATTGAACCTAGGATGTTGGATGTGGGGAGCAGGCAGTCTACCACTGAGCTGCATTCTCAGTCTTCAAGTGATGTTTTTAAAAAGGGTCCTGTGGGCTGCTGTGTGGGGAACGGATCAAAGGAGGGCAGATGCAGAAAGCAGGAGATGAGATGAGGAGATAAAATTGTCCCTCAGATGCATGGGGGATTGGTTCCAAGACCCTACAGATATTTACATCTGCAGATGCTCAAGCCCCTAAAATAAAGGGACATGGAACTTGTGCACATCTTGCTGGATTCTTTAGGTCATCTAGATGACTTATGATACCCAATGGAGTGTAAGCGCCAAACAAAGAGTCGTGATTCCGCATCGATTTTTAATTGTTGTTTTTATTCTTTTCTTTCCCATCTTCTGTTCCCCAGATGCAGATCCCTTGGACTTGGAGACCCAGCTGTGCTCCAGGTGAGAATGGATGGTGGGTTGGGGGGGAGGGGCACGGAGATGCTGGGAAGTGAAGGAGGCTGGGGGGGGGAGCCCAGGGGTGCTGGGGTGCAGCTCAGCCTGGGTTCAGACCCCAGCAGAGGGCGAGGGAGAGGGGAGGGAGAGAGGACCTGAGCTGCGAGGTGTGTGAGAGAGGAACTTGAGATGATTTTTTTTTTTTGGCCCCAGCAACCAGAAGGATGAACTAACTTATCTCTGCTGAGCTTGGGGAGGCCGGGGGAGGGGTGCGTGCATGTGGCAGTCCAGAACCCGGAACTGGCCTGCCTTGAGCATCTTCTGAGCGGTTGCCAATCTCCCCTGGTCAGCAGTAGCATCAGGCTAGAATTCAGGAACAGCTTTTTTTTGTCTCCTGGCTGTGTTTGTTTCCGTAGTTACCACCCGGAGCTGCAAGGAGTCTTCCTTTGCAACAGAAGTTGACTCAGGGTGATTTAAGCAACAAAGGAATTTATGGCGTGGGTTCTGGGGGCTCATGGCACCACCAGCCTTGGGAAATAGATGAGAAATGGACAGGGAAGCAGGGCAGCTGTGAGGACTCAGCCTACAGGACCCCACCCCCAGCAGGGCTCCCCTGCCCCTCCCCACAACTATCTAATCCCCTGCTTAAGATGCTATGATGGTTTCCCTTCATGGCAAAGAGACATTTTTCCCCCCCTTAAGCCAGGCACAGCACGGTGGTGCATGCCTATAAGTCCATCTAAGTGAGAGGCTGAGACAGGAGGATTCCAAGTTCAAGGCCAGCCTGGGCAATTTAGCGTAATCCTGCCCTCAAAATAAAATAAAAAAGAGCTGCGGACATAGCTCAGTGGTCGAGTGCTTGCTCAGCTGGCAGGAGGCCCTGAAATAAAATAAGATAAAATAGTAAAAAGAAAGTGATGTGTTTCAGGGGATTTTTGAAAAAGCAAAGAAATGTTGGTCACAAAATTCAGGATGGTTGGGCTGGGATTGTGGCTCAGCAGTAGAGCACTCGCTTAGCACAGACGGGACCCAGGTTCGATTCTCAGCATCACGTAAAAAAAATAAATAAAGGCATTTCTCTCTCTCTCTCTCTCAAATAAACAAATAAATAGATAAATAAATAAATAAATTCAGGATGGTGAAGACGTTCAGAATGAGACCAGCAGTGAATCAGGAGCGTGCTTGGTGGTAGTGTCCTGGGTTAATGTGGACACAAGTGGGCGACGGGGGTGAACTGTTCTCTGCTTTACGATGTACACATATCAATCAGGTCCTTCCAGTGGGTACTTTGGGGAGTGGGGGAGGCAAGGGACAGGTGAGCCCAGGGAGATGGAAAAGGCTGTCATTGGCAACTGTGGGGTCTCACCACCACCTCGCCACCCCCACCCCCCGCAGAGCTGGGGGTTGAACCCCGGGCTTCTCATATGCAAGGTGAGTGCTCCACCACTGAGCTACCTTCCCAGCCCTTTTTTAGCATTTATTTTGAGACAGGGTCTCATTCAGTTGCTCAGATTGGCCTAAGACTTGAGATCCTCCTGCCTCAGCCTCCCATGGAGCTGGGATTCCAGGTGCGCCCTGCACCGGGCCCACCGCCATCTTTAAGAGGCAAAGAGAGGAGGTGCTTCTTGGAATCTGGTGTTGGCGCCTTATTTTACTTTTTATTTTAATTGAGTTAGGGCCTTAGCTAGAGAGATGTTGCTCATACACCGTGACCAGGAATAAGGGAACTTTGAAGATAAGTACCTGGTCTTTGTCCTCTACCATGTCTGGATGTGATTTGTTCAGGGACTGGAGGCTGACCCCAGTGTGGCAGTACTGACAGATGATGGAATCATTGAGGGGGGTTGGGGGGAGTGGGAGGTCGTTAGGTCATGGCAGGTACTCCCCCTCAGAAGGGATTAATGCTCATCTCTTAGAGTAAATGACTGTGAGCATGAATTGTTTTAAAAAGAAGCTGGGCATGGTGTCCAGTGCCTGTAATTCCAGCTACTCAGAGGGTAGAAGCTGCCTCAGCAACTTAATGAGACGATGTCTCAAGAAGCAAAAAGGACTGGGAATGGAGCTCAGTGGTAGAGGGCTGTGAATTTAATCCCCAGTACTGTTAAAAAAATAAATAAATAAAAAGCTCCTACTAGCTCTGGCTTCCAACCATGTGACCTCTTTGGCTTTTCCTTGAGGCCCTCACCAGAACCAAACAGAAGTTGATGCTCGGACCTCCAGAACTGTGAGCTAATCTTTTCTTTACAAATGACCCCGCCTCAGGTGTTTTGTTATAGCAATGGAAAATGGACTAAGACATTCTGCCACCCTCTGATCGCCAGCAAGTGCCTCCCATTGGCAGAACCCAACAGAACTGGAAGCCAAAGCACAGGGAAATTTGTGGATACAATTCAAGGGGGGAGCTCCTGGGATAATCAGAAGACCTCCCTCCATCACAGGGATACCTATAATTTTTTTTTAAAGTTACTTGAATTTCTATTAAACTACAATTCACTGTTCATTTTCACCACACAATCTGCCATTTTAAAGCACCCAATTCAGTGTGTCTTCGTGTGTCCACAAGGTTGTACAACCGTCCCCACCATCTCATTTCCTGTAGAATTAGACCTCTGTATCCATATCAATCAAATGCAGATTGGAGATTGTTTTAAAAATTACATTTGTGCTGAACATATATGGACTCTTTTTCCTGTCATTATCCCCTAAACAATGCATTATAACAACCATTCCCATAGTTTTTGTGGTGTATTGTATTGTAAGTCATTGAGAAGTGACAGTATACGGAACTAAGTTCAGAGGATTTCTGCAAACACCACACCACTTTACAGGAGGGACTTGAGCCTCTTGAGTTTTGGTGTCTGCTGGTGTTCTGGAACCACTCCCCCCAGGAGGCTGAGGGCTGCTGGAATTCCAACACTGCTTCAGAAGTCCCGTGTGGAGGAGGGGAAAGGGGTTGACTTCAACCCAACAACAAAACTGAGCAAAAGTGACTCCTGATGTTTGCAGAGACACAGAGACCTCTCCCTAAGGCCTGGGACTCAGTTTCCTTTTTCCTAGAAGAGACCCCTGACGACCAGCAACAGTGAACCTGTCACAGACTTGGGAATCAGACAGCTCATTCTGGTCCACCCTTCCGCTCGCTGCCCACAAGCGGGGTTTCTGGCCCGGGAACTGGGCAAGGTTGAGTGACTCCATCTCATGGCCACAGGGTGGACAAAATGAGTAACGAAACGCTTCCCTGGGAGGCCGACACTCAGACACCAAGCCCAGCAGACACTTCAAGAGACAGGAACCAAGGAAGGGGACTTTTGCTGTCATTTCAGTATTGCTATTGCCACCTCTGGGGTATAGAAAATGTCCAGGGGGCACCTATTTATGGAGCAGCCACCGAGCCAGAAACCCAAAGTCCATTTGCCTCCAAAGTCTCTTGGAGAGAGAAACTTGGGAACACCACCTTGGGGGCTCCCAGGGGACCCTATTGGCTTTTTAGTTTATTAAAATTTAAAACATTTAGTTTTATTAAATATTAATGACAGCTTGTGGTTTTATACATTTAATGGAAAAAAATATAAGTACATGGCTGTGTGCACACAAACACATTTTGCTAATGGGGAATGTGGGCAGGAAAGTGGAGACTACTTGGTTCACTCAGCTCTGGGTGTGTGTGTGTGTGTGTGTGTGTGTGTGTGTGTGTGTGTGTCTGTGAGTGTGTGTGTGAGAGAGTGTGGAGGGGGAGGTTCTGGTCATCCCTGTATTCCCAGGTCCAGGATCATGAAGTCATAAGACTGAATGAAGCACAGTCTATCTTGTCCTTCAAGGTCATGACAATACCCCCTCCTCCAGGAAGGCGACTCCCCCTCCCCGTGTGGGCAGACCCCCGGGGTCCCAGGATCTCTCCTCTGCCCCAGCCCTGACTAGGGAGGGCTCTGGGTCTGGAGACGGGAGGGCTTTTCTGGAATTTCAGCAATGCCCAGACCTAGAGCGATGGAGGCAGTTTGCAGAACGAATTTGTGGAGGAGATGAACGGATGAACCGAGTGTGAGCGGCCCTGGGTCTGGGGTGTGGCGGTGCCGCCGTGTCCAGGGCGGGAGCGGGGAGCGCGGGCAAGTCTCTGCCCATCAGGGCTCCACCCGGGCCGGGAGGCAGCCGCAGGCCAGGCAGCGGAGGCTAAGGTGGAGCAGGCGCGGCCAGCGGAAGAGGAGGCTGTGGGCGGTTCTCACGTACAGGCTGCCCGAGGGGTCCACGGCCTTGAGCGCCGCCAGCGTCAGGTAGCGGAGGTTGGTTTGCTTGCGCAGCGGGGGCCGCGTGGAGCCGATGACCTTGGCAATGGCCTGCGAGATGGATCCCTGAGCTCCGGGCCCAGGGGGCTCCCCACGCCCCTGCGTCCCTGACCGGCTGTCCTGGCCACTCACCTGGGCCACGTCCTTTGGGTTCTGTCCCACTGAGCGGAAGAGCTCCCTGGAGGCGGGGAGGTAGAAGTCCCTGAAGTAGCTCAGGGTTTCGGGGTCCGTGCCTGGAAACTCAGCCGTGGCGACCTGAGCCATGAGCTTCCCCTCGAAGTCAGTGACCACAGGGCCCGGCTCCACCAGGGAGATGCTGGGGACAGGAGCAGGGCTAGTGGGCCCGGTTCCCCCACCCACTCATCAGTCCTGCTCCCCCAGCCCCCTCCCCTGCCTCCCTCGCTCCCCTCCCCGCCTGGCATACCCCCCCACACACACACACACTGCCCTTCCCTCTCCTCTGCCCACGCCCCCTCCCCGGCCGCTCACAAGATGTTGAACTGGAGCAGCTGGATGGCCAGACTCTCGAAGAACCCCTCCACGGCGAACTTGGAGGCTGAATAGACTTCGTTGAATATGACACCTGAGGGGATTGGAGGGGGTTCTCTGGGGATCTGGGCGGTGGACTTTGTGGGTCCCTGAGTAATGGGTGGTTGGGAGACAGAAGAAAGAGGCCCTGGGGATCAGAATCTGGGACAACTGGGGGCTGACGTTTGGGTATATGGCATTGTGTGATGGGGACATGTGGGGCCAGATCAAGGCGTTCCTGGGGTGCCAGGTGCCATCTCTTCCTGGTTCCTCCTTGTCCCTATTTCCTTCTACCCTCTATACCCCTGGGGCATGTAGGCATGGGGTCCCTAGCACCCACGGGAGCAGGTGCCATTCATTAGGGACCTGGACAGTGCTTCTCTTTGGCAGGGTGTCAAGTAGACTGGACTCCTTAGAGGATGCTGGGGAGGGGACAGGCCCAGCAGTATGAATGGCAGGTAGGTGACCTCCAGAGTAGGCCCATCGCAGACATCACCAACCAATGGATGCTCTATTTTCTGCTGAGCCTGGGGATATCTTTAGCACCTGGTGGGCTGCGTTTGGCACTGGGGAGTCTCAGGAGAAGGAGTTCTGATGATCTTTTGGAGTTTTGGGAATGGTTGGGAGAGTGCTTTGGAGATGTCCAGAAGTGGAGTGGATTCTGGAATTCGGATGGCTTTGGAGGCCTGAACACCACCGCAGTCATGTTAATCTATCCCAGAACCATTTCTTCCTGAGCTGCAGAATCCTTCCCAACACAGCCCTCCTGGCTCATTTGGAAAGAGCTAAACCTATTTGCCATCCTTCAGCCTGGGAAGGGTCAGACACTGGAGGACTACTTAAGGGTTGGGTTCCAGGGCTCACCCTGCAGACCCATGACGCTGCTGACCACCACGATATGTCCCTGTCGCCGCTTCTTCATTCCCGGAAGAACAGCTTTGACCAGACGGATGGCTCCCAAAAAATTGGTGTCAAAGATGTTCTTCATGGTGTCTATGCTGAGCCCCTCCAAGGGCCCCACCAGGCCCACGCCAGCATTGTTCACTAGAGAGAGAAGTGTTGAGTGTTACGTTAGAGTTCCTCCCAGTCTTCTAGTGTCACTGAGGTCACTCTTCAGATCACCCTTTTACCCCCGACTCCAACTCCAAGAAGATGTTTAAGCACAGTCTAGCATTTGTTATGGGGACCTTAGCCCAGGGTGGGAGCAAGGGCCACAGGGAACAGCATGCCTGTAATACATGAGAAATTCAGCTCTGACCCCAAATTGTTTCAAAACAGCTACACCCACCCTCCTGAGAAGACGGCTCAGGGATTATGAGTTGTTTCTTCATCATTTTTCCTTCCCCAAGTGACTCATCTAAGTAATTTTTCCAACCACATATGGGTTTCTCCATATGTGATAATGTCTATCCCATTAAATCCACTCCACCCCCAGGTCCTAGGTTATTTCTAGCATCCCTAATGGACTGATTGAGAGTCCCAGTTCTTGGCCAACTGGTCTACCCCTTTTGTAGAAGATTGGAGGTTGTGGGTAAAGCCAGAGAACTGGACTCAGACCTTGCCATGTGGAGGGTTTATAATTAAATCATGGTGGGGTGAATGGCCCTGGGGGCTGCAAAGTCTCACCCAGCACGTCCACTTCCCCTCCTTGGATGCCGCCGAGACACTGGGCCACTGACTCATCATTGCACACATCCAGCTGGGCCACGGTGAGGGTCTTTCCCAGAGCGTCCCCAGCAGCTGCCTCCAGCATCTCCTTCTTTCTCAAGTCCCTCATGGTGGCCACCACTGGGGGCATAGAACAGAGTTGGTTCAGGCAACTGGCTCCTTTCCTTGGGTGTTTCTGTTGTCTTGCACAAGCAGTTCCAGAGGATGAAGATCTACAGGTTTGCACACCTATGTTCATTGCAAACGCACACTTGGGTGCTCGTGTTAACATGCAGCCACATCCATCCATCCTACAAAAGTTTATTGAGCATATACCACAAACTATGCTTATTCTAGGTACTATTGTGTGAAATAAGAAAAAGTCCTGCCAGGCACAGGAGTGCATTCCTGTAATCCCAGCTACTTGGAAGGCTGAGTCATAGGGATGGCAAGTTCAAGGCCAGCCTGGGCAACTTAGTGAGATCCTTTTTTAAAATAAAAAAATAAAAAGGACTGGGGTGTAGTTTAGTGATAGAGCACCCCAGGGTTCAATCCCCAGCAGCCCCTCCCCGCCAAAAGATAACCTTCCTTTGTGAAATTTATAATCTAATGAGTAAGACAATAAAAACAAAGATACAAACAAGATTGCCATGAGAAAAATTTCACACACACCTACAGCCAACATACGTGCTTTGCACACTCAAGTAGGAAGAACCACATTTGCAGCATTGACATAGGAAGTTCCAGTTTACTGAGCATTTACTGTGGGCTATGCATTGTGCTGAGCATTATCTCTAACTTGCAAGGACCCTATTAATTATTGCACTAACTTGTTTCCCCCCAAATATCTGCACAAAATCTTCCTTTGCACAAACTCTTCTCAAATCTTGTCACTCCTCCATCAAGACATGAAATCATGTGTCCCGGTGGTAGAGTGTGTTTAGCACAGGCAAGTCCCTGGGGTTGAGCCCCAGCATTACACAAACATGCATGCAGATATGCAGGCATGTAGATCTTGAATCCAATTCCCTCCCTCTCCCCTTGAACCACCCACCCTCAGTACTGGGGATGGAACCCAGGGCCATATGCATGCTACCACTGAGCTCCCCACCTTCCTGTTGAATTGTATGACCAGGTGGAAACCAATGGAAGTGACACAGTGTGGTTTCTGAAGTCCAAAAAGGTCTTGCAGTTTCTGCATCACTTGCTCTAACACTCTCCTTGCAGCCCTTGCCCATCATGGAGCAGCCCAGTTATCCTGAGGCCACCATGCCATGAGGAAGCCCAAGCTAGCTGAGGAAGAGAGACTTCAAGGAGAATTTCTAAGGTTTCAGGAAGGGAGTGAGCTGCCTTTCCACCCCCATGTACTTCAGTCCCCACTTTGCCAGCTGTGGCCTTTGACTCTGAGCCTGAACCACCCTCTGAGTCCTTTCTGAATTCATGACCTATGTGAGCTACAGGTGGAAAAACAAGTGATTGTAGTTGTTTTACAGCATACATTTTGGGGTGATTCATTATTGAGCAATAGTAACTAGAATAGGTAGGTAACTGAGATTTGAACTTGAGTTTGTAGCAAGCCCACGCATACCAGGGATTGAACTCAGGGGCACTCAACCACTGAGCCACAAGCCCTAGTTTGTATTTTATTTAGAAACAAGGTCTCACTGAGTTGCTTAGTGCCTCACTTTTGCTGAGTCTGGCTTTGAACTCATGATCCTCTTGCCTCAGCCTCCAGAGCTGCTGGGATACAGGCATGAGCCACCATGCCTGGTGCCCTTGCATGGCCTCACCATATATACTACATACACATGTTTGCATGCCCCTCTGTGCATGTACCCATGGTCACACATATGTGGGCCTGGGGGACATTTATTTGTGTATAGTGTTAGTCTGTGGGATTCACAGGTGTTATATAGATGAATGAGCTCACTGGCATCCTGAATGCAGTATAGTGACAAGTGTGGTCCCAGCTTCTGGCTGCCTGGGTTCATATCTCTGCTCTGCCACTTCCTAGCTGGGTGACCTTGGGCAAGGGCCTTTGGCAGTCTATGTCTGTTTCCTCTTTTCTAAAATAAGGCAAAGGATAGTAAGTGGCCTCTTCACAGGGGGCGATGTGAAGAGTAAGTGACATATCAGATGCACTTAAATGACACTTGGCACATCATGAGAGTTCAAGAGCATTACCCTTTAGCAGTTTTATAGGCCTGTTGGCCCACCTACAGTTACACAAGTTCCTTTCTGCACGCTGACCTTTGCCTGTCACACTCAAAGCTGTGCCTCTAAGACAGAGGGCAGAGGGCTGGGAGAGGCAGCCCTGCCAGCTGGGGCAGTGCCCACCCCCCAGCAGCCTGAGCTTAAGTAACTGCCCTTTGCCTAATTACACTCAGCCTCTTCCAGGGCAGAGGTTCCTAGGGTTGGGGCGCAGTCTGTAGCCATTTACTCCAGACCCGCAGGGAGGCAAGAACCTGGAACTAGAGGGCTCCCGTAAGTCCCCAAGGTCAAGAGCATGTAAGAGGCTTATCTTGGAGTAGTAGTAATCTGGGGGCGGGGGGGCAGAGTCAACAAGGTAATTATCCATGCCCAGGAATGCCCAAAGGAGCCCTCTCCGATAAGCCTTATGGAGCAGCCCTTCATAACACATAAACCCTTGACACCCATGACACGGGTCACACGACCCCGGTCACACTCTTCCCTTGCTTTGTTTTGCTCTTCAGCACTTGTGATGGCCAGACACACTGCAATTTCTTTTTATGTGTTTGTCTGTCTTCCCTGCGCCTCCCCCAGGACACCACTACCCAGAGCTGAGATTTTTGTCTCTGGGCCATAGCTGTTTCTAACACCCAGAGCAGAGCTTGGCACACAGTAGATACGCAAGAAATATTTGCTGGATGAGAGGATGGTCCTGCAGGGAGAGGGGCCTTTCCATGTACAGCCGGAGGGGATGAGATTGCGGAGACAGCGTGGGGGCTGAGGCTCCTAGGAAGCCTAGCCCACCCCGGCTGTCCCCAGGTCCACCCGGGCCCCTTACCCTGGTAACGCTGTTTGGGGTCATGAGCCAGGTGCACAGCAAGCTCCAAGCCAATTCCTGATGAACAGCCTGAAATCAGCACGGTCCTGGGTGAGGAGGCCATGTTGATCCCTCCCTGGACACGACTCCAGACTGAGATGACACCCCTCCACCCTTGTCTGATCTCTCCATCTAAGCTCCTTTTACCTGATCCCTTGCAGGGCAAAGGGGCCCCAGGAGACTTCCACTGTGGCTTGCACAACCCTGAACAGGTGGCTGGAGAAAATCCTTCGACTCTTCACAGTCCGTTTCCTTTATTTGCCAAAACCTTCTTTTTGGGGGGCTGGGGGTATGGCTCAGGGGTAAAGCATTAGCTTAGCACTTGTGAGGCCCTGGGGGTGGGCGGTTTCCACCTCCAGCACCACAACAAACAATATGATTCTCCATACCTGCTACACGCATAACTGTTCTTTTAAATTTTTATTTTTATTATTTTTGTAAACTATTCAGGGCCAGGGGGAATCGGTAATGGGTTTGAGGGAACAAGCGGGGTATCCCTTCTCTTATACTATATCCACTCTGGAAGAAGAATCTCTGGTGGAGGGAGAAAGTGAAAAGAAATAGGAGTGTGGTCCTGGAAGGGTCCCTTCAGAGAAGAATGCAAGAAGTTAGACTACAAGAAGAACTTCCTAACAAGGCAGGGCAGGACAGGAACTTTGTAAGAGCCTTTTAGTTGGAGAATTCTCAGCTTCCGATGTTCCTGGGAAGGGAGGAGGGTTTGCTTGGGGAGATTTCCTCTCCTTGCCCCATCACAGGGGGGGGCCCATCTCTTTCTCAAGCCAGATGGGGCCCCACCCCCTCCTCTCCAGGGACACAGAGACTCTTTGTCTGAGGAGGCCGAGGCTGAGAGAGAGGCGGTTCCTGCGTCTCCCATGAGGGGGGCATTTCAGGGCCCAGGATCCGCCCCTTTGGTTCCTTTCTGGGGAAAGTTCCCTCACACCTCTCTCCCTGCATGTCTACACTTGTCTAATTGCACAGAATCCCTCCCTGACCCCAGGGGCCTCTTCAGCTGGGAGGGGGGGTACCAGCGGGGTAGGGGAGGCTCTGCTTCACCCCAGGAATGGAAGGAATCCATCCCTCTCCCCTGGTGGTAATGTTCTGCTTTGGGTAGGTCAGACTTCCCCATTTGGTGAGGATTTAGGACAGGGCCGTGCACCCATGTGGGCACCTGAAGGAGCGGGAGGTGAGGACTAGGCATGGAGGTGGACTCTTTATTCAAGGATTAAAAATTGGGGGGAAAGTGAGCATTTTGTTTTGGAATCCGTGCTGGGAGTTTGGGGTGCTATCAAGACACCCAATTCTGGGATTCGGGTGGAGAGATGAAGGTTTAGGGTAAGTGGAGACCTGGTTTGGGGTGAGGTTTGAGAGAGGACAAGGACTTCTTACTGAGGATCCTGAAGGGAAGGCCTTGGGGTGCAGCTGGGACCTACTTTGTGGGGCTAAAGGACTGGGGTACCACAGGTGGGTGAGCATGGGGGTGAGCCTGCTTGCCCCCGGGTTGGGAGCCTGGGTGAGCCCGGAAGGATTTGGTAGGAGCTGCAAGTCCTGCTAATGCCAGGGCCCGGATGGAGGTGCAGGTGGGCCCTTTTGAGGGGGCTGCTAAGAAGAAAGGGTTTGGATTGGTTAATGTGAACCCCGGATTCTAGCTCTGGGTGGGAGTGACCTCCTCCTCCGCTGTGGGGTAGGACGGAACGGCCCAGCTCCTGGTCCAGGGCTCCACCCCCCGCTGGCCAATCCGCGCTCAGCGAAAACTTTCCCAACTCCCCCTCCAGCTGTCAGTTCTCCCCCTTCCTGCGAGCGCTGCCTGGCCCGGCGCTGGAGCGCAGGGCGCGGCCAGGGCGGGGTCTCGGGCCGACTCCTGCAGATCCCGACTGCAGCCGACCTCCGCGGGTGACGCGCTGAGCCTGAGGAGTCGCCGCACCCCGCAGACGCCCTGTCCCATTCCCCGCCTGGCGCACGGGCCGCGCTGGGATGGAGAGCCTCTGGGGCCTGGGCCAGCCGCGGGCCGGCCTCTGCCTGCTTCTGGCCGCGCTGCTGCTTCTGCCCAGGACGCAGGCCGGTGAGCCGGAAGGGAGACCATAGTACTTGGGTGCAGGACCCAGAGAGACCCCAAAGACCGGGCAGAGTAGGGCATGGGGGCGAGTGCAGGGGACATGAGCATTGCGTGTGAGCACGGTGAGGTGTGGGACACAAGTGTCTGACTCTGGGTGATT